CCCGCCAGCCAGCCCGCCAGCCAGCCCGCCAGCCAGCCCGCCAGCCAGCCAGCCAGCCAGACGGGGCGCCGGTGGGTTTTTTCCCCTGCCTTCCCTCTGTCGAATTTGGCCTCTCTGGTGGCACCCTGGCCTAACGTGCTACCCTTTCTGCCTTGGCATGCTGCCGCCCGCGCTGCAAACAACAAGCAAGCAAGCAAGCAAGCAGCGAGCAAAAAGGCAACAAGAGCACCGGCCGCAACACACATACAAGCAGAGGGTCAGGACCCACCACCTCAAGTCCCACGCCGCCGTCTGGGCCGGCCCTTTGTCCTCGGCCTGCCCCTTCATCTCGTTGGACAATCTCAGCATAATGTGCCTTTGCACTAGGAAGTCGGCCGCCGGGACAGGCATGGCATGCCACCGAGCAAGCAAGTCAGCAGCAAAGCAAGCAGGCAAGCAGCGGCACCGGCAGCGGAAGCGGCAAGCTAAGAGCCAGCGAAACGTCGTGCGTGCTGCCAGCGTGGCGCATCCCAAAAAAGAACGGGCGGCCGGGAGGCCTGCCTGCCTGCCTGCCTGCCTGGTTTTGCGCATCGACGCCGTCGTGCGTCGTTTTCCGGTCGACCCGCCGCTTTCTTTCGATCTCGCCCGCTTTCTCGAGGAGAGCAGCCCTCGTGCGTGCGGAGTGCCCCAGCCTAGCAAACTGCCTCTGACCTGCCTGCCTCGCCTGTTTTCGCCTCGGTTCGCCCCGCCTCGCTGCTAGTTAACCCAAGCCTGGCCTAGCCTAGCCTGCTGGGGGCCACGCGCGTCGATCGGCAGGGCCCAAACCCGCTTCGCCGGTCGGGGTTGGCCAAACGAGGCGGCGGGCAGCGGCCAGCCACGCGCCGGCGCTGCGCGGCCCCTAGCCTGGCTCGCTGCTCGCACCGCGTCTGGATCGACTTCCTCTGAGCAGGCAAGCAAGGGTGATGATGACGACAGCCGCAGTCGATCTTCGTCGTCGCCACCACAGCAATACATAATGAGCTCCTGCGCCGCCGCCACTGCCGTCATGATTCTAGCACCATCTGCCGTCTGCTCTTCTTTGCCGTAGCTGGATCTGCCTCCCTTTTGTGAGGATGCCATATGGGAACTCGAGGCCGGTCGGACAGTGCCCACGGCGCGCGGACGGCGCCGTACGGCTGCACACGGCGAATCGAACAAGCCACCGCGGCTCCTACCAAGCAGCTTGCTCGAGGAGCGCAGAGCCCCATCGAAGCGGTTGCCACATGAATGGGCGGAAGGAATGGGCGGATGGGCCGGCACAACACAGAGAAGAGACAGAAGAGAGAGACAGACGGACGCTCGGCCGGTGCGTCCGTTGTCGTCGCCGCCTGTGTGGCGTTGCCGGTTGCCGCGCTCACAGGGGCCTCGTTGGACGACACCGGCCAGCACACTACTGCAAGTTCGGCCCTTCCCTTTGTTGGCTGGCTGGCGTCGCTGCTGCTGTCGCACCTCCCACGGTTCTCATATGAAATGGGAGTCGTTGACAAGCCTGCCGGGTGCAGACGTGTCTTCCTAGCTTTTTTTGTTGTTTGCCAGCTCGAAGCGGTTTCCAACGACTGCTGCTCATCATCGATATGAGACGGTGCGGGGCCGCCGAGGAAATTTGGAACACGAGTAGGGCCGCCGCCGTAGCCACGGATCGGACCGATACGATGCGCATCCCATCGTCGTTTCCGTCGTCGTCGTCGTCGCTGTAGTCGCATTCGCCTTCGAGAGCGTGCGAGGAGGGCCAAGCAGGCAGGCAAAAGGCAAGGCCGAGAGGTCAACTTCGAGATGCAACGAGGCGGGCATGAAGGAACAGGTAGGCAGGCTGAAGGAAGGCATCAAGCAAGCCACGACGCAGCGGGCAGCGGAGATGGCAAGCAAGCAGCAGGCAGGCAGGTAGGGAGGCGCCCGAAAGGGTCCAGGCCCCCTTTTTTTCGCTGGGATGGCAGGCAGGCCGGCAGGCTGCTCCGCCGCGGCCCTCGAAACCGCCGCGTGCGCTTTGGGTGGCAGCTCGCCTGGCCTCGCTCGCCGCTGCGCTGGGCCCGCACGCATGTATGGCATGCGTGCATGGTTGCGGCGGCGACGGTGGGTGCAAAGGGGCAGGCTGGGTCGTGCAGCGGAGCGCCATCCCGAGGGGCAGGCAACGGGTCCGGCCCTCAAGCTAAGCCTCCCAACCTGGCCTGCCTGCTTCTGCCCCACGACTGGACCCTTTGTCCCGCCATCCGGCCGGCTCTTGCCCGAGAAGCTTTGCTCGTTCGTACGTACGTGCGTTTGTCGCCGTCGTCGTCCATCGTTGGGGCCTCAGGCAGCCATGCTGCCGCCGCGGCTGTTGCGATTCGCAGACACAAAGGGTCCAGATATCATCGAGAGGCCGGGCCGCTACTGACACTACTACAGTACGGCCGGCACCTACCGATGGCTGTGCCGCTCTGAATGGAGCGAAGCGTGATTGGTCCCCTCGTCCCCGTCGCTATCGGGTGGCGTGGCCGGCCCGGAGGGGCACGGCGGGGCAGATGACAACACTGCGGCGGCAGCGGCCGCGGCGGCGTGCGAAATACAGGTAGCAAGTTGCGTCCTTGCCGTGCCTGTCCCTCGTCGACTTACGGCGGCCGATCCCGCCGTCGCTGTTTGGTGGCGTCCGTCGGTCTGTCCTGCAGTGGGTGAGGCGGTTGAAGCGACGGTGCAAGCAAACATGCATACCTGCCTACATATGTATCAACGGACCAGCAGGTATTTGGCTTCGGAGCAGATGATCCGGTATGGTGGAGCGTTGACGGCGTCGTCTGCACTCACGAGAGTCTACGTATCTCCTCCCAGCTTGCCCGCAGATGTAGCGTCGCAGTCCAAGGTCGCAGCTGAGCGGCGGAGCCGCACCGCCGTGACTGGACAGGGCAAGCAGCAGATCACGTCGGGTCGGACGCAGAACGACATGGGCCGAGCGCCACCTGTCCTCGAGGCGGGGCCTGCAACCGCGGTACGGCACGAGGTGGGCCGGAGGGGTCGGAGGCAGAAGCAAGCAGGCAAGCAGGGTGCGTTGGCACGCGCCCGCCCGCTCGTTCGCTCGCTACCACAGCATCCAACGCTTCCATACATCGACGATCCGGGTCGAGATTGGCTGCGTGGGTGAGCGCGGACGGGCGGGCGAGGGGGCAGTCGTGCAAAGGACGCACGCGCGCGCTCCGCTCCCCGTCTCCGACCTCCCCGGTCGCATGCGCATGAACAAAGGGAAGGCGAGAAGGCGGCGCCGGCATGATGCTGCCCGGATGGACGGACGGACGGACGGACGTCGCTCGCCTCCCTTCCTTCGGTTTGGGTTGAGTCCGTCGTTTGTCCCAGGCGGTACGTACGTAGACGAGCAAGCAAGCATGCGTCGAGTCTTGTGGTACACGGACGGGACCCTTGCAGCCCCTTGCCTTGCTTTGCCTTGCCTGTCTGCCCAGCTGGGGGCCTCATCGTCGCCCGTGACCTGGTTCCTTGATTCCCCTGGGAGCTTGCTTGTCGATCAAAGCCGTCTAGGACAACCGCTGCAACGATTCCGTTGACGCTCGGAGTTGACCTCGTCTAGCCTCTGGCCCCTCGTCGAGATGGTGAGTGCCGGGCCGGCATAGCACCCAAATGCCTTGCTTGTTCCCCTTGCTCCAGGACACGGCGACGTTTCGGTCGAGGCGTGCAACCACCAATGAACCAACGAGCAGACGGCGGCGACGACGAGGACCGTGCCGCGATCAGAAGTCAGCTCCAGTCAGGACCTTGGCGTCTCTAGGCAGGCGGGAATGCAAAACGCCTAGACTCACCCACCACCAGCCACCCACGGGTGCAGAGATGGGCTCCGCTACCTACTCAGCTCATCTGCTTGCGACCAAACAAGTTCGAAAACGCCGACCGACCTGATCTCGTCGAGTGAGAAGACGGTTGGGCAGGGGTCAGGTCGAGTCCGCGGAACCAAGGTTCCGGTGAGGCAAGGGGCGTAGGGCGTCCTGGCCTAGCCTCTTCTCGCGGCCGTCAGCTGATTGGTCAACCTGATATGCAGCATCATCCCGCTCACGTTGACCCAGACCCAGCAAGCCTTGGTCGTTCGTCTTCTGCAAGCCACCAACCGCCTTCACACCGGGCCGAGAGGTAGGGCGGCCGCGACCCCCCCGGTTGTCAGGGTCCCGCCTAGGCCAAGACGGCTCCAAGTGCAGTACCGGTGCATGCACCGGCGTTGTCTAACGACGCCGCTTGGCCTCCAGGTTGGCCTCGACCCATGCGGACATCCTCCCGCCGGTCGGTCCATCCGTATGAGCGCGCGCGCGCGATGGTGAAGCTAGAATGGTTGCTGCGGTGAGGAGCTAGAATTACAAGAGGATGAGGAAGGGAGGGGACGGGACGCGGCGGAGAGGTTGACCGCGGCGAAGAGAGGGAAGCGCGGGAGATAGATAGAGAGAGGGGGGGGAGCGGGTAGCTTGAGGATCACACGCCGCCTCGCCTCGTCTTGTCGCCGTGACGGAAGGAAGAGGGACACGACGGTGCTCACCCACTCGAGACTCGTCCGCGACCACGATTGCCGCAGCAGACGGGCACCGCGCCGCCTACCAGTTGGCGAGGGCGTCGCGGGTGAGGGGCTCGGTCTCCTGCTCGTACTCGATCTCGACGCGCGCACCGCCCTTGCGCCGCTTGGGCCCCTTTTTGGCCGCGCCCGAGGAAGGCTTGGGGGCGGGACGGCTCGGCTTGCGCTTTGACGCTGACGGGCGCCCGGCACCGTCCTCGTCGTCGTCTTCGTCGTCGTCGTCGTCGTCAGCATCTGAGTCGCTCGCCTGGTCGTCGGACGAGAACTCGAGCGGGTTGCCGTCCTGCAGCAAAGAGGCAAAGTCGGGGTCGAGGAGGGGAGCAAAGGGTCAGCTTTCGTGCACTGGCCAGGGGGGGGGAGCTGAAAGCGCCGGCGCGAGGCCGGCGGCCGGCGTCACTCACCGAGTCGACGAGCTCCTCCATGTCGTCCTCGCTCTCCTCGTCGTCCTCGACAAACTCGCGCTCCCCGGTCCTGTCCTCGTCGTACTCGTCCTCTTCCTCGATCATCCTGTCCATCTCGTCGAGCTCGTCTTCGTCCTCCTCGTCGCTCTCCTGGTCCTCGAGCCCGAGCTCGGCCTCGGTCTCCTCCCTCTTTTTGCGGTTCTCGAGCACCTCGTTCCACACGTCCTCGTTGACGTTGAGCGGCGCGTCTCCGTAGGCGCCGCTCTTGAGGCGCTCGAGGAGCTCCTTTTCGATGCTCTTTTCGAGCTTGGCGGCGCGCAGCGCCTTGCCTTCGCGCGTCGCCTCCCTGCGCTCCGTCTTCTTCTTGATGCCGACGAGGCGCGGCTGCTCCTCTTCCTTGAGCTTGATGCGGCGCAGCTTGATGAGGTACTGGGTGATCTTGGTGAGGCGCTGCTTTGCCTTGTGCGTGATAAAGTTGGGCCAGTAGACGAGCTCCGAGTCGATCTGCTCGAGCGCCTTTGCGTAGTTGTTCGACAGCCGGATGCGCTCCCACTGGTGCTTGGGCGTGTGGGCGCGCTCGGCCGTCTTGACGTAGAGGTAGACGACGCCCTCGCGCTCGCGCACCGTGGCGTAGCGCGAGTTGGCGAGCGGACACGACTGCCGGTTGCAGAAGCCCGTCAGGTTGTACTCGTTCCGGCAGAAGTTGGAGTGCGTCTTGGACGTGATCTTGTACGAGCAAAACGTCTTGCCGATCACCGACCAAACCAGGTCGTCGGACTGCATCGTGGGCGGTCTGCGGAGGGAGGGGTTAGAGGCGTTCTGGGTGTCAAGGCGAGGCGGGGCGAGTGTTGCTAGGACGCTGGCGGTCAGACTATCGGTTGCAGGTCGAAGGTCGAAAGTCGAGTGTCGAAAGGTCGAAGTTCGAAAGACAAGCTCTCGAGTGCAGGGAACGGGGTGGGTAGGTGACTACGATCAAGCTCGACGGGGAGCTACCAGGAGCGTGGATATAGAAGGATCTGGGCGGGTGTCGAGGTCGAGCGCAGAAAGCGTGCGGGTGTGGGTGCGAGCTGGCGAGCGAGTGAGCGAGCCAGGGTGGTGATGGTCGATGGAGGCTGCTGCAACAGCTATAGCAGCGGCGACCTTCAAGATTTCTTCCTCCCTCTGCAGCCAGCCAGCCACTCAGCCCAGGGCCAGGAGCCAGGGCCAGGGCCAAAGCGCCCTCGAACTTTTTTCCCCTGGCTCGCTCGCTCGCTCGCTGGCTGTGGCTGTGGCTGCCCGCACGCCGAACTTTTTTTGAGTTCACCGTTTCTCGGGAGTCGCGTCGTCGTCGCTGCATTTCGACTCCCGAGGTTTCGCCTCGACCTGCTGGTTGCGCCCTGCCCTGCCTGACCCGGCCGCCGCTGCTGGCCTCTCGTTCGGCGCTGGGCAGGTGCTCATTCCACCTTCGCGCTGCTTGCTTGTCTTCATCGCCCGTCCAGCGACCAGCAGAAGACGCGAAACTGCACACGCATCGATCCAAGACGAGACGAGACGAGCAGAGGTGGCAGAGTGATTTCACGGTGGTGCTGGGAAGGGGCCACTCTCAAAGCCTGCCTTCCCAGAAGGTAGCCGAGAGCGGGAGAGAGAGAGAGAAGGGGGGATGAAAGCGACGCAACAGAGCTAAGGGGAAGATGGGCCGAGACGGGTCAAAGAGCAAAAGAGGCGACATTGGCCGAGGAGATAGACAAGAAAGGCAACCAATAGACGGCAAAAGGGGGAAGGACCAAGAAGCTAGAGGAGAGAGCGTGTCGGGGCTCGAGCGGATGGCGGGACAGAGGCAGGAGAAAAAGAGCGACAGAGTGGTAAAGAGCGTGGCTGGGTAGGTCGCCGGGTTGGCCGACGATGGTGCGGAGCGAGCGTGGTAGGAGGCGGTATCGCCAACAAGAGGCCGAAGGGCAGAAGGGCTACAGGGTCTTGAGAGGTCTTGGAAAGGATAGAAAGGATGATGGCGGCAGAGAGAGGATCGATGAACGCTCGCGAGAGGTGCGGCCGGGTGGGCGGGCGAGCAGGCGGGCAGCCCGACATTGTCGCCCGGCGGCATTAGGGAATCCATCGTCCGGGCCATAGCAGCGGGGGACCATTTTGAAGAGGCGGAGACACAGAAACGACGGACAGACGAGCCTGGACCAAGCGTTCGCTCAGTAGACACCGCCGTATGCATCGTCCGGGTCGGCAAACGAGCTGGCCGTCGAGATCGGCCTCTGCTGCGTCTGGTACTGACCGCCAGCACCGCCAGGCATCAGGTTGCGCACGCTCAGCGGCGCATTCTGGCCCTCGGCCGCTCGATCGCTGGGGTTGGCGAATGGATCCAGGCCGCCGTTTGCGCTGTGCGAGGGCAGAGCGCCGCCGGACGGAGCACCGCCGCGCGCCGACATCTGGCTGAGCACGTCCTGGCTCGACGCACTGAAGCGGTTCGTGTCGAGCAGGCTGGCGCCGCCGACGCTGCCGGCACGCGCGACGTGGTGGCCGTCGTCGCTGCCGGCACCGCCGATGGCGTAGGTCTGCTGGACGTTGGGCAGGTCCGGCGTGCCGCTGCGGCCCTCGGCGGTACCCGGTCGGCCGGCCGTGTCAAAGTCCGAGATCCTCTTGCCGCCGGCGGCCGTGGGGCTGTTGCTGCGCTGCTGGTGCAGCTGGGCCTGGTGGGCGAGTCCAGCGACGAGGGCGTCAGCGGCGGCCGAGTTGTGCTGCGGGTTGAACGGCCCGCCCATCGATCCGCCGTGGCTGGCGCTCGAGGCGCTCTCAGGGCGAGAGCCCGAGGCGGCGGCCATGGCAGCCGACGGCTGACGCGAAATCATCGGCCCGGGGCTGGCGGCGTGTCCGCGGTCGAGGTGGGCGTAGGGGTTGGCGATGTTGTCGTTCATACGGGCTCCGACGCCGGCGATCGAGTACGGGTCGCCGCCGAACGCGGCCAGGGGCGGGAGCTGCGGAGCGGGGCTGACGCTCCTCTGCGAGACCATCGGCTCGTCGAGGTGGCGGTTGCCAAACGCGGCCGAGGGGGCATCGTAGTTGGCCTGGGGCGAGACGTTCTGCATGACGGCAAAGTCGCCGTTGCCGTCCTGGTTGTAGTAGGCGCCGACCTGAGGGGCGTTGTACATCTGCTGCTGCTGGGCGTCGAACTGAGCGGCGGGTCCGTTGGCATGGCGGGCAAACATGGTCGGCGGCCGAGGGCCTCCCTCGTTGTGGGCGAGCATGGCGGCGCCGGCGCCGGCGGCCAGCCCGCTCGAGTACGAGGGTCCAAAGGTGCTGTCGTGGTGCTCCGACATGGACGGGTGGCCGTGGCCGTCGTCGCTGTCAAAGTGGTCCGGGATCATGGTCGAGTGCCGCTGGAAGGCGTCCCGGTCGAAGGGGTTGGCCTCGAACGGATCGCTGTTGTTGCGCTTGAACTTCTTGACCAGGAAGCCGACGAGCATCGAGAGGACGACGACGCCGACAAGCGCGCCGGCGACGATGCCGATGATGGGACCGGCACCGGGACCGTCGTTGGACTTGGTCTGCGAGTCCGACGCGGCGCTGGTCGGCGTGACGGTGGGCGTCGGCGTGCTTGTGACGAGCCTCGTTGCCGTGACGGGGCTGATCGGCGTCGAGGACTGCAAGGGGCGAGGCCGGGGCCAGGATCGAACAGAGGAGGGGTAAACAGGGTCAGCAAGATGTCGCCCAATGAAGAGCTTCGCGAAGCTAGGGGCGGAGCGAGGTCGAGGGCGAGGGCGAGGTCGGGGTTGGACGCTAGCGAAGGACTCTGAAGCCAGAGAAAAGGGGAGCAAAGACCACAAAAGGCACGGGTACAGGCCTGGAGAGCTCTCCTACTGAGCGCCATCTGACGAAGCTGGGCATACTCGCGCCAGTCCTCAAGCAGTCGATGCGTCCTTGTCCAATCTGCTCCGTGTGCCGGCGTGCAGCAGGCGGAGACTAGCAGCGACAAGCTTGGTGGTCCGAACGACGGCAGCCCAACCTCGTCGGTCGGGTCGACGCGCGAGGCGAGGCCACCGTCCGGGTCCACATCGAGCCACATGCCTGGCCTGGCCCACTGCCGCGCGCGACGGAGGAGAAGGGTGCATAGGGGTGCTCGGGGCGGGGATCGTCGAGGAGGGGGAGATGGCGTGTGGGCCGGGGGGGGCAATGACTATATAACCAACCGAAGATTCTGTAGTTCTGGATTCGCGCGTGGAGCTGGTATTCACCGTGCTGGTGGAGCTCGAAGTGGAGCTGGAACTCGTGCTGGTGGAGGACGACGAGGTGCTGGTGCTCGAGGAGGTCGAGGTCGAAGTCGAGGTGGGCATGGTCGAGGTCGAGGTCGTGGTCGGCGTCGACGTGGTGCGGCCGATGTTGAAGATGCTCTCGAGGAAGCCCTGCCTCGAGCTCGACGACGTCGTCGGGAGCGGCCGCGACGTCGAGGTGCGCGTCGGCGTCGTCGTGGGCGTCAAGATGCCAGGCTCATCCTGGCTGGTCGAACCGCTGTTGCCGACGCCGTTGCCATTGCCGTTGCCGTTGCCCTTGGTCGAGCCGGCGCCGGCGCCGGTGCCGGTGCTCGGCGAGTCCGAGACGTCTCCGGTGTCGCTATTTCCGGCGCCGCCATTGGGAGGACCGTTGGGGAAGTTGATATTGTCTGCGCTGGAACCACCGGTGGTGTCATCTTCGGCAGGCATCCTACCGAATCCGCCCTGGGAAAACTGCGGCTGCCTGCGTGAGAAAGGGTCGAGGTCGAGGCCATTGTCGTCGTCGAACTGCCTCTCGACGAGGCGGCGGATGGCGACGGGGTCGGCGTCGGCGTCGATGCGCTTTCGGTGATGGCGCTCCATGCGCCTCTTTGGCGAGGCGATGCCGTCGTTGAGCGTCATGATGGGGGCGGTGTGTGAGAGAAGGGGGGAGGGAGGGTAGAGAGGGATGTGGTGTTGGGAGCCGGGTCGACGCTCTGTAGAGCAGCGGCGGCGATGGTGGTGCGGCGCTGATTGATACCGGGACGAGGACGAGAGGAGAGTGGTCGAGGGTTGATCCCGAGCCTGCGGTCAACTCTCTCTGTGAGGGAGGGGTGGGTGCGACGTCGATGACAGAGGGCGTTTCCTGACGACTAGCTGTCCGGGCCCAAGGGTGGCAGAGGGCAGGTCGTGATGGCGAGGGTGGTGGCTAAAGAGTGTGGTACGTCGTCAAGCGGGGGTGGGGTGGTGTGGGTGGACGGGATGATGGGTAGGGTAGGGTAGGGTGTTGATGGAGCAAGGGGGACTGTGATTGTGTGATGGCGGAGAGGTGGGGGTAGGAGGCGTGGAGGGGGTAGGGGGAGGGAGAGGGCAGGGCAGGGCAGGGCAGGCGAGAGGCAGAGGCAGAGGGAGAGGGAGAGGGGGAGGGGGAGCGAGAGGGCGCAGGGAGAGGCGGTAGCGTAGCGTGGGTGGGTGGTGAGAGCGAGGCAAGCGCAAACGAGAGGCTAGGCTAGGGGGCTGGCCAGAGCTAAGGCTCTGCGAGGACCAGCAGCCATCTCTGCCAACGCCAAACAGCACCACCGACCGTACGGGCTGCCCGACCTCGGCGCGCCAAAGCCCGCCCGCCGATCTGACTTGAAACAGAGCTTTCAGGCAGGCTTGCATTTCCAAAGGCGGCCCGACCGAGGGCTTTCAAGTGAGGACCGAAGATCCAAAATAGAAAGCAAGGCTAGGGCAGGGCGGCATCGCCGCTCGCCCGCCCGCCAGCATGCATCGAGGCAGCGAGCCAGCGAGCCAGCGGAGCAGCGGAGCTGTGGCAGACGAGCGCCCCCCGCTGCCGCCTGCAGATCAATCCGAAAGTTCGTTTCCCCTTTGTCCCTCGGTCGTCGGGCGGGGGGGATCGTCGTCGTCGAGTCGTCGCTTCGTTGCCCCCTCCTACCTGCCCTCCTTGTGCTCTGACGGGAACGCCCGAGACACGAAGCCAGCAAAGGCCAGGGAGCCAGCCTAGGACGTGCCGGCCGGCCTCTGACCCGTTCCTCTGGCTTCCTCTGCCGTCTGAGAGCATGACCTGCCACACGCCTCATTGTCCAAGTCAAGGCTCGCTCTCTCGACCCCGCTCCGCCAACTCTAGGGATGGGGACCGGAGCGCTGTAATATGGCGCGCCTCCGCCCCCGCCTCCGCCCTGGGCTTTGCAGCGGACAACAGATGAAGATTGCAGCGCCGGGCCTGGCCGTCGGCGTCTTGATGGCCACCGCCCGGCCCTCGATCTGATTCTGTATTGCGGCAAGCGTGAAGCGAGGGTTAGGGCAAGGGCGAAGGCGACGCGCGCTCCGTCTCTATAAACACGACGCAGGCGGTCCTTGCTTGCTTACTTCTTGTCTGCCTGCTTGGCTGGCTGGCTGGATGGCACGCATCTCACCAGACCTCTCGGTCAGTCGAAACGATAGCGCAAAGGCAGGATCGCGGCCGGGCTGTAGGCACCACGCAGGAGCGAGGGCCTAGGCAGGCAAGCAGCGTGCTCCAGGCCTGGCCTGCCAGGGAAGCTAGGAGAGTATGCGCGGTTCGTCGCGTGCATCGCCTGCCTGCCGTGCCTCGCCTCGCCGCCGACAAATTAAACGGCCCTGCAAGCAGAGACCGGCCGGCCGGCCCGGCCTGTCGGTCGATCTGCACCTTGCTTGAAAACCACACACGGATCCTCCCGCCTCTGCCACACCTCTGCTCCTCCTTCCCCAGGCACCCCGCCGGCTCCTGCAGCACGACATCCCCCCCGCCTGCCAACTCGGTGCCGCATCGCAGCGGCTGCGGTAGCCCAATGGGGCCCGAAGGGGGGAAAAGCTCGGATCCGCAGGTGACGCTCAGTCTGCCTACCTGCCTTTCGCCCGCGAAGCCCACTTCATGACGACGCAGACCCCTCCCAAACCTACCGCTTCGCCGACCGCGCATGACACGGGCCGACGGACTCGCTCGACACACCGGGCAAACGACGCCGATACGTATGGGCTGCGTGAAAAAGGCCATGGTATGATGAATGACGGTGTGCGGCGACGGCAGCGTGCCAGCGCCGAAGACATCTACTCGTTGTGCCAGAAGAGGTTGCGCAGGCTGTCGCAGCAGGCAGGAAAAGGATGGGACACGGGTGCAGGCAGGGCGGGCGCAAGTTGGTGCGATGGAGCGTCAGCAACGCACTTCCGCGCGGTCACACCTGCAGCATGGCGCCCCGTCGTCTGGGAGCCCGGGAGCCTACTCACCTGTCCCATCGCTCGCACTTGGTATAGAGATCTGCCGGTAGTCGCGTCGATGCCATCGAGTCGCGCGAGTCCGAAGGGTCAGTCTGGGGGCCGAGAGGAGCGCCCTCGCTAGTCCAGACGCCGGGCACGCCGGGCGCGACTCACAGTCCATCGAGTTGATGAGGCCCGGGTTGAGGTGCTCTCTTCTATGCTCGTGCAGCCACATGACGAGGCCCCAGGTGACGGTGGCAAACAGCGCAAACGCCCTCTTGTCTGTCGGGATGGGCTTGGTGGGCGGGTAGTTGGCGGGCACCTCGGCGCGCGGCAGCACCATGGCCGAGAGCACTCGAGAGGCAGAATAGAGGACAATCTGCCGTCGTCGTCGTCCGAAGCGCACGGAGGCGGGAGGGAATCGGAGAGGAGCGTTCAGCGACGTCTGCAAGCCCATCACGGGAGCAATCTTCACGCAGCGGCGCACGCACCTGCTCTGCGACGGGCGTCCTCTCTCCGAAGACAGTGTACCCGAGCACACCGCCGGCGAGGAGCGAGTGCCAAGCGGGCGCCTTTTTGAGCGTGGCGCCCGTCAGCGCCTCCTGGACCCTTCTGAGGAGGATGGTGAGGAACTTGTAGGCGGGCGCAAACGTGCCGAGGTTGAAGGCGTGGGAGCGCGTGGCGCGGATAATGTTCTGCATCTTTTGCGCTGGCGTGCCCCGCCCAAAGAGAAAAGTCATGACGAGGGCGTGCGGGAAGCGGATCTTGGCGCCGTAGACGAGGCCGTTGCGGCAGGCCTGAGGGGTGTTGCCAGAAGGGATGGCGGGATTGCCAATACGGCAAAGGGGGGCGTTGTGTCAGCAAGCAGTGCCGGGTCCGGAGGATGAGAGGGTCATCGCAGCAGACCGAGAGCCTACAGACCTTGATGATGGTGAAGAGGTCATGGTAGGCCGGGTTGAGCGCTAGCTGCGTCAGCTTCTGCTCGAGGGCGGACATTGTCTTAGTTGTTGTGGTTGTGATGGTGGTGGTGGTGGTGGTGTTGGGCGGTGCTGTTGCTGTTGGTGGCTGTCGGTGGATGTTGCTGCTGTAATGGCTCAGGATCGGAGGCTTGCCGGTTCAGTCTGGACGAGGTGACTTGAGGTGCTGACGATGGGCGTCGCTGACGCTGATGGTGGTGCTTGTGTGTCTATATACGTTGCCAGAGGCGTGCTTGCCCGCTGAAATGAAGGAGAGTCGAAGCTGGAGCAGCACAAGTGGGTGACGGCTGGATGCAACGGTGCGGTGCGGCGGCGTGGGCTGGAATCGGGCGAAGGGGACGCGGAACCGGTGTGGCCTTGGTGGAAGAAGTTGCGGGTCGGGTCGGGTCGTTTTGCGAACCCGAGGTTGCTCTGCTTTGGGATGACGAGGAAGCTAAGGTGGAAAGAAGATGGCGGAGAGCTGTGAGGGCGCGGGACGAGGTGGGGCCGGCAAAGGCAGGCAGGCAGGTGCGGGGTCCAGCCTGGCTGAGGACCGGGGCTGGGGGGGGGGGGGGGGGACGCGCGCGCGCGCGCCGCCGCCGTCTCGTCGTCCGTACGTACGTACGACGACCGCGACGCGCCGACCGACCGACGCGGCGGCGGCGGCGACCCGTACCGTACCGTACCGTA